GGAAGTTTATATGGAGCAACCTCTTGGGTTTGTTGCTCAGGGGGAGTCTTCTGGACTAGTTTTTCGTCTTCATAAGTCTTTGTATGGACTTAAGCAATCTCCTAGGGTTTGGTTTGAGAGATTTAGCACTGTTATTCAAGAGTTTGGTATGACGCGATGTGAAGCTAATCATTCAGTGTTTTATTGTCACTCAGTTGTTGGGTGTATTTATTTAATTGTGTATGTGGACGACATTGTCATTACAGGTAATGATCATCATGGAATCACACAGGTAAAACAACACCTTTGTCATCATTTCTAGACAAAAGGCCTCGGCAGACTTCGTTATTTCTTGGGCATAGAGATTGCCCAATCCAAACGGGGGATTGTGATTTCACAAAGGAAGTATGCTATGGATATTTTGGAGGAGACAAGACTGTTAAATTCCAAGCCAGTTGACACTCTGATGGATCCCAATGCTAAACTTATGCCAGCTCAGGGGGAGCCACTCTCTGATCCTGGAAAATATAGAAGATTAGTTGGAAAACTGAATTACCTCACTGTTACTCGCCCAAATATTTCATTCCCTGTTAGTGTGGTAAGTCAATTTCTTAACTCTCCTTGTGAAGGGCATTGGGAAGCTGTGATTCGCATCTTGAAATATATTAAAGGAGCTCCAGGAAAAGGCTTACTCTATGAAGACAAGGGACACACTCGAGTTGTAGGATACTCAGATGCAGATTGGGCAGATTCTCCTTTTGATATGAGATCCACCTCAGGTTATTGTGTTTTCTTGGGTGGTAACTTAATTTCCTGGAAGAGTAAGAAACAAAGTGTAGTGGCAAGGTCAAGTGCGGAAGCAGAATATCGAGCCATGGCAACAACAACCTGTGAGCTTATATGGCTTAAACAATTGCTTCATGACTTGAGATTCGGGGATGTTTCACAAATGACACTTATTTGTGACAATCAGGTAGCTCTGCATATTGCATCAAATCCAGTGTTCCATGAGAGAACCAAACACATTGAGATTGATTATCATTTCATCAGAGAGAAGATTTTATCTAGAGATGTCAGCACTAGTTTTGTCAATTCAAATGATCAGTTAGCTGACGTTTTCACTAAGCCTTTGAGAGGTTCTCGAATTAATTATATTTGTAACAAGCTTGGTGCATATGATATATATGCTCCAGATTGAGGGGGAGTGTTAGATATCAGAATATTCTATATTATGTAAATAGAATATTCTGTAAGTAATTAGGATATCATGTAAATAGGAAATAGAATATTATGTAATTATTATAGAATATTATGTAATTACTATGGTATTTATGCCTCCTATTATATATAATGAGCTCTGATTTGTAATTCAAACACACGAATTCAATCCAACCTTCCTCTTGTTCTCTCATTATTCAACAACCATGACAAAGGACAACCATTTCTCTTGCCTATTATCTCATAAGGAAAGCAAGAGTTGAGAATTGGAACTTATAATCCAGAAAATATGAAGAAGTTGATTGCTGAAGCTATTATTATACACGATTATCCACTATCAATTGTGAATCACGTTGGTCTTAGAAGAGTCTTTGTTTCTCTCCAACCATTGTTTAAAGTTTCTACTCGAAACACAATCAAGAAGGTGGTATTGAAAGTTTATGATTTTGAGAAAAAATGTTATGAAGATGTTAGATAGCCATGAAGGAAAAGTGGCGATTACCATAGATATGTGGACTTCAAGCAACCAAAGAAAAGGGTATATGACGGTTACGGCTCACTATATTGATGGCTCGTGGATTTTACAGAGTCGAATCTTAAGGTAACAAAGTTTATATTTTGTAACTTAATTTGTATCTTTTTTTTTGTTCAGGTTCATTTATGTTCCAGCCCCTCACACTAGTGAAAGACTTACTGAAGCACTTGTTAATTGTTTAATGGATTGGAACATTGATTTAAAGCTTTGTACGGTTACTTTAGATAATTGTATCACAAATGACTCCATGATTAAGAAAATTAAGGATAAGTTGTCGTTGGAAAGTTTGATAAGGGATGGGTCTTTGTTACATATGCATTGTTGTGCGCACATCCTAAATTTAATTGTTCAGAAGGGGGCTACAAGTGAGTAAGGATAGGATAGAAAATATTCAGGATAGTGTAGGATTTTGGAATGTTACACCTAAAAGGCATGAAAATTTTGAAGATATCGCTAGACAATTGAGAATTGTTTGCACTAGAAAGTTAGCTCTAGATTGTCCAATAAGATGGAATAGCACATATAAGATGCTTGATATTGTCATAGAGTACAATGATGTATTTATTTGATTGAAGCAACACGAGTCTTTATACACTTGCTTGCCAACTAATTTACTTTCTGGTATAAAATATCCCACTGCCAACTTGTACTTTCCTAAGATTTATAAGATTAAGTTGACAATAAAAGAATGGAAGAAATCCTCCATTTCAATTATTGAGATGATGGTCACAAGAATGATAGACAAATTTCAAAATTATTTAAGTGGTGTTTATTATATAATAGGAGTTGTTGCAGTTTTGGTATGTCAAATAATCATTACTTTTTACTTTAATTTTATAAGTGCTATAAATATTCTTTTGTATTTGTAAGCATGGATCAATTGGTTTCTGTTGAGTCATTCATGTAGAAAATTTTGTTTTAATGCTGACAGTAGTATAAGATATTTTAGTAGTGATTATGTATAATGAATAGTTTTACAAAAAGTATTCAGCAAACTATTCAGCAAACAGCAAACTATTCAGCAAACTATTAAGTTGGTTACAAAAATTTGAACCAAAGATCTTACAGTTTTAAATTGTTTTGGCACTTATGTTTAAAAAAATGAGACACATATTTTTACTTCTTCTTTGCCTATATAGCAGCATCATGTTATTTGGCACTATGTTCACACATCTAGCAGGAGCATCTTATTTGGCAAGTATGTTCGGTAATTGATGTCAAGTTGTTTGGTTAATTAACCATTTAGAAAATTTCAATTACTAATTAGAGTCCATATAATGAAACTACAATTACATATCGTCAATTAATTATTTCTTTGTTATTTTAGAGTTGCAGAAGAAATTACTATTGTGTTGAATTAAATGGAGTCTGACGATGAAAGTATTTTATATTTCATTTGGTGTAAAAGTTTTAAGTTTTGATGTTTTATTTAACATCAATTTACTTCTTAATATAACTGAATTGATGGAAAGTTGTTTGGGTTATCATTTTGAAGATTAGAAGTTGTTGTTTCTATGTTTTAACATGGTGAGTATTTGTTGTTTCTATGCTTTAACATTGTGAGTATTGTTGGTTTCAATTTTGCTTTAAATAACATTACTAATGACTGTAATGTGAAGAAAACAGACATGTCTATTTGAGGGAGCTTGTTTATGGAATGTTTGTGATTGAATTTTCTTGGAGACTATGTTACTATGTTGCTGTTGGAAAGTTGTAATTTAATTGTAGACTTTAATTTTAATTATAATGTTAAGATGTTGAGGAACTTAATTTTAATTGTAATGTTACCAAATTTGATGGAAAGTTGTAGACTTTAATTTAAATTTCAATGTTGATGGAAATTGTAATGTTGATGTTGGAAAGTTGTAGTAAAATTGATAGAAAATTTCAATGTTGTTGTTGTATTTTATGTGTTTTGCTTCGGGTTCAGGCGGAAAAACCCAAATCCAACAAATATAGGCGTGATTGTTATTTTACTACCCAAATAGCCTTTAGGTTTAGATTCGGGTTTGGATAGTAATTTAAGGTGCGGGTTTAGGTAATGTGAAATCCACATCCGATCTTATCCGTTGTCATCCTTAAATAAAGATTATGATAAGGTGATATGGTTAGAGAACGCTCATGTAGAACAAATAAGTTCTTTCTCGAATGCACTAGGAATGGAAAAGGAGATAATGATTATGCAATCTAGGATGATTATCATATTTGTAACAACTCTGGATTAATAGATTTAGCATTAGTTTGATTTCACTTCAGAAAATTAAATTTTTTAAAGATAGATAAGTGAAATGTTGCATATTTAAATAAGTGAATTCACGATTCTGTATTTGATATTTCTACATAATTATCAACCTAGTTAATTTAATGTGAGAGGAAACTATATTTTAAAGTAAAAAAAACGAAAAATAATGAAGCAATTATTTAGAGCTTTTGAAGTGATGTGATTTTTAATTGTGATTAAAGCACTACTTAGAGTTCAAATGTGTATTTGTGATCCTTGATCAATAAAATGACTATTAATAAAATACAACCAACTAAAACTAGAAAGAAATAGCCGTGTAGTTTGTTGTTTATTTACCTTCTATTTCTATATTGATCTAATTTATCATTATCAACATTGTTAAAAAAAATTAGAAAATGATTCATTGGGCAAAAAATAATACTAAAAAATCAATTAAATTATAAAAAGAGTAATGTTAAAAAGAAGCAAGAATGTGTAATATATTTTATCCACATCATGTCAAATACACTGAATTTTGATAGGATATATATCGACATGTTATGGCTAGGAGCTAATATATTCATAAAAAAAAGATAGCCAAATACAAGGTTCACAATGCAGAAGATAAGGTTAAAGCTACACTTCAGAATGGACTTCGTTGGATCAAGAAAAAATGCTCCCAAATTAACCATGGCTACAAATAGCTACCACTCTTATGCTAAGTTAGCCACCAATATTTCCAACACATGAAAATTTTTGCAATTAAAAATATTTCTAATACCGACATCTCTAATAAAAATATATGTCAGTAATGATATCAGAAATTGATACCGACAATTATGATTACGCTTAATTATTTTTATAAAAAATTACTATTGTAATATGTATGCATGTGATATTGATATATGGTTTTGTTGTAATCTTATTTCACATGCATTGAACATTTATAATTATTTATATAAGTTAAAATCATCGTAATGTTGTTGTTATTTTATTTATTTATTTGATGTTATGATTGAATACAAACACATGTGCACAACAAGAACATCACCATCCTAATGACCTTTCACTTCGCTCTTTATAATCACGATCAACATTATTGAAACGTTGCAACCTCATTTGATGATAGAATTGTGCAATAAAATCTTCAGCTTTAGAATCAATCTTCTCGTCTCCGTCATCGTTTTCATTACACTCCTCCTTAATCACATCTGGCCTATCATTCTCCTCGTCACTCGACACGAGTTCGTTCAACCCTATAGCCGAGGCATATCGACTACTTGCTGGAGATGGCGAGAAAGGCGAGAAAGGCTCTTCGTCGATTGAAAAATCGATAAACATACTGCCACCGCCCGATTCAGACGGAGAAGGCGGTGGCAGAATGGTCATTTCATCGAATTTTCGGTGGTTTGATTGAGAAGACAACCGTGGGGATTGGTTGCTTTGGAGATGTAATGGTCTCATTGATCCAACAAATTTCTTCCAAGAGCTCTTAGATTCATCATCCGTAGAGATGACGTTTGATTTTTTGGAATTCCCTCGTATCATGTGAAGTGCCACCCTAAGACTACGCATTGGACTATGCTTCTTTTTGGTGAGAATTGGTGTTGGTTTGGGTTCAAGTTCAAGCCCAACATCATCTTGAGGAGGGTTTGGAATGGTGATGATGTTGCCATTTTCAAGGCTTGTATCCATAAATCGATGAAATGTAAGAAAGAATAATATGAATAAAAAGATTAGAATCAGAAATTAACCCCCTGCTTTGGCAGGGGAAATGTGGGGATTCTTGAAAGAAAATGAAGGAAGAAAACAAGCTTATATACGAGAAAAGTTATTGACTATAATTATGCATGAACAATATAGAGAACCAGGTAAGCAGTACATTGATTTAACATGTGTGTTTGGTTGGTTGTTGAATCTTATATTTAGAGAATTTGTTGTTTTATTATGTGTATAATTCCATATATGAAATGAATTAACTTTTAAGGTACAAAATTCATTGGTTAATAGGGACTGAAACTGAAATGGTAATGTAAGGTGTAACAAGGAAATAGAATGTGTGGGGCAATATTTGAGGCGAACTACATGGATAGATTACAAAGGACATAGGAATATGCTTTTATAGGACAAACAATCAAACATGTAATTTGAAGGTTCAAGTTAATTGAAAAGATTCTATGTGAATTCCAAAAAATGAGATAAAAATAAAATAAAATGCAATAATTTAACATTGAAAAAGATTATTATTTTTAAAATAAAATAATTAAGTGAAATAAAGTTGATAGTTTTTTTGTTTATAACTTATAATAAGAAAAATGAATTTTTTTTTATAAAGTAATAAGTATCTTATTAGTGTGTATAATGTAATAATTAAATAATATAATTAAAAAATAACAATCATTTATACATTAAAAAATGTGAATGACAATTATTTAAAAATATTTTTTTTTGCTAAAATTATAATTTAAATTATACTTATTTTAATTATGTATAGTGACGTAGATGATGTAATTCGTAGGAACATATACATGGTTAATCAGTCATAATTTTTTAATTTAACTTATATTGCAATGACTTTTAATTTAATGAAAGTCTATTAGAAGTAATTCATATTCAGAAGTATTTGTATTAGTCAGAAATTTGTGTCTCAGAAGTATGTTTAGCTTCTGGGGTCCTATTTATTTTGTTAACTTAACTATTAAGTTTATTTTTTTGCTAGTGTTTACGTGGCAGTTTATTTTGTGTATATAAACAACTTTGTTACTAGGGTTTTAGTAAGATTTTAATATGCAATTTCTTCCCCAACAAGTTTGTTGTAGTCGCCTCTTCTTTCTCTCTCTCCTTTCATTTTATCTTCTTCTTCAACCTTTGTGCACCAATAATTAGTATCAAAGTCTCATTTAATTCACAGGGAAACACGAGTATATGTGAGGCGTGTGTAACTGATTTTGTTGTTTCTGAATTCGTGTTGAATTCACGGTCGAAATCGTAACAGGCATTACTACAAAACACACATATAACAACGCTAAAATCATCACATTTTCTCAAACACCGTGATGACATGTCTAAACTCTTGCGCTAATATTTTTTTAATATTTTTAATTAAAATTTGTAAGGATAACGGTTAGTGTTAACACTATGATCATATAATGAAGTTTTCATGGGTTCAAACATTATCTCCCTCAAGTAGTTTATTACGTTGACGTTAATGCGCGCTTTTTCATTTTTATTTATATGTAACTAAAAAATAATATGGATATTACTACGTTGTTATTTAAAATCGTTGTTACACGCATGCGCTTCTTTATATATTTTAAACACTAAGTATCCATTTTTCTATTGAAAAAAGAAACAAGACGAAACAACCATAACACCAACGTTGTCGTCATCGATTTGAAGGAAGACAATAACACCGACACAATATTTTCCTTTACGGTACGTAGAATATTTTCAACATTTTTGTTTTTTAGTTTCGTTTCAATGTCGCATTTGAAGACAAAGTCACTCAAATGTGTTTATATGTCTTCTTCTTCTGTAAAATCTCGATCTAGAATTTTTGTGGTTGTGATTGTTATATGGTTTCGTATCAATGCAAGAACGGACAAAATAAAGGAAGGATTTTTTTTTTGGAGATGTCCATTTTGGAGGAGTGATGAGACATATAATTTGTTCATATGGCATGAAGAAATGAGGGAAAAAGATGGAAATAAAGATGAGAGCATTATGAATTAAAAGTTGGAGATGTCTATTTTCAAGGTTATGTATGAAGATTCAAAGAAGAAGAACATACTGAAGTCAGAGAGATTTTTTTGGAAATTTGAAGATGTTATGTTTTCTTGTCTTATTTATGTTTTATGTTTACTTTGTTATGAAATGTAATAGTTGAAGTTTCAACTGATTATCTAGTTGTCAGTATATTAGTTGAAATGTAATAGTTGAATTCAATTATTGATGTCGAAACTGCAGATGCATTGAACTTGATAAGAATGCAACTAAAAGACAGTTTCTTCGAGTAAGCTCATCATAAACTATTGAATTTTTAATTAGTTATATGTTTGCTAGTATATTAGTTGATATATTTAAATTGAAATTTTAAGTTGATAACCTTTCATTACATATAAACTTTCATCACATATAAACTTTTATTACATAAACTTAATCAAATCTAAATTCTTTGGCTGAGAGGAAGTTTGACAAATCATAGTTAGTATCATCATCATCATCATTGTAACGCCCGAATTTAACTAATTGGTTAATTAAATTATTTAAGAATTTAATTATTGGATTTTGTCGGTTTAATCGCAAAAATAATATTAAGAATAATATTATTTATTTATTGGTGTAATTTAATTGAGTTGGGCCAAGTAGCATTAAAATGCAGTTAATTGGAGGGGTGTGGATAGTAGGCCCATTTGGATTAATTAATTGTTGGAAATAATATTGATACTATTATTATTATTATTTGGAGGAAAATTAATTAAATATAAGTCAGCAGAGAAAATAAGGTTTTTGGAGAGAAAACAGAAGTTACGTGAAAACGGTGCAAAGAGGCAAGGTTGAGGACGGCGGAAAAGCCACCGAAGAGGCGACTGCGATTAGAGAATCGAAGAACCGTCAATCCCAGGTAAGGGTGGAGTTCTGATTCTATAATCGGATGCATGATAGATGATATGTAGGATGGGATTTATCGAATTGCCCTATGTTTGGTGTGTTTTGATTATTGATGTGGTATTGATCCTATTGTATGCCTTAGATCATTGCTATATGGTAGGAATTCGATTTTGATGGTTTTAGGATGTTTGGGGATGATTAGGAATGGGTTGGGGTGATTTTGGGAAGCATAAAAACGTGAAATATGGTGTTGCAGAGTCATCAACACGGGCCGTGTTGATGCACACGGGCACCCGTGTTGATCTTCTGTGTTGATGCTCGGGTAGGTTTTTCCCAAAAATCGTTTCGGCCATAACTTTTGAACCGTAACTCCGATTTAGGCGCCGTTTGATGCGTTGGGAAGCTAGGGAAATTTTCTATATGATTATGAGGAATTAAGTAGCTTTAAGAGCTTATTTTAATAAGTGATTATTGGAGAAAGTGTTTATGTTTATAAGTGAATTTGGTTGTTATGTATTTTAGTGAAGTGTTTGGAGATATTTGGGATTGGAGCTCTGAAGAACGACGAACAATCGCTCAAGAGTTTGAAGCTGCAATTTGATAAGGTAAGGGGGGCTACTACTCAATTTATATTTGCTTATGGGTTTAGATGCAATTGGTTGGGTAATCGTAGGATAATCCCATTTTCTCTGATATTCTTAGTGATCGATAACTTTAGGGTCGAATTTCGTTAGAAAGGATTAGGTTCCCTAAAGGTTGTGAATCGATTAAGAAATTAATCCCCATTGTTGATTTAGATCGAAATTGTATGATCGTGAGTTTACCTTAGGTGTTCTAGGGATAACCTCAATGTTGTTAGGATTTCCCTAAAGGACGGGTAATATGTAACTTAAGGTCAATTTTAATAAAACTTGTTATTGATGAAAGGATTGTTGATAAAATAGGATGTTTTAAAAATGAAAATTTTGAGTTTTGATTGATTTTGGAAAATGAGACCTTAAGTGAAATAATGCTGTCCTTAAGATTGGAAATTGACTAACGTAGAAGGGAATTGTGTTCCAATTGATGTGTTGTTTTGAGTTATGCATAATTGATGTTGTTATGTACCGAAATGCGCGTTTTGGCTGGTAGTTTTCGCGTTTGGCTGCTGTTCTGAGCTGCTGCAAGTTCAGGAAAGATCTGGCTCGCACTCATCAACACGGGCCGTGTTGTTTCACACGGGCACCCGTGTTGATCCACTGTGTTGCCAAAAAAATGTGTTTCCAGACACATTTCAACACGGGCCGTGTTGATTCACACGGGCACCCGTGTTGATCCCCTGTAATGGCAAAATAACGTGTTTCTGGACACATTTCCACACGGGCAGTGTTGATTTACACGGGCACCCGTGTTAAATCTCCTGTGTTGGTTTCTAAACTCTGTTTTCTGTGCATGCTGTTATGTACGGATTGATCCTGTTTTGATGTGCAGTGTTTGACATGTTTTGAATATGTTGTTTATTGATTTCCTGGTGTTGACTGATGCTTGTATCGAATAACGATTGTATGTTATGATACCAACACTATATGGATTTTATTGTCATGCTTTTAGATGATGTATCAAGCATGAATTATGATATAACTTGATATGATTGATGTTTAAAAGTATGCTGAGTGATTACATGCTATCCATATCCTGTTATGATTGATGTTGTTGATGTTGCATGATATGTTGATTGATGTTAATAGTATGCTGAGTGTTACATACTGTACATATCATGTTGCATTTGTTAATTCCCATTGTGTGGAATTAACATGGTGGCCAATATACGTGTCCGCGATTTAATGGAACGTTGAGGTGGTAGCCGTGTCCGCGATATAATGGAACGGTGAGTTATCCGTGACCCGAGATTTAATGGGGCGGTAAAATGGTACCACATGCATGGGTGTGTTGCATTATATTGAATATAACATGAATGGACGACTCTCCAATGTTGTATTTAATTGATTGTATGCATATATTGTTGCTAAATTGTTAATGATGTTAGATGTTAATTATAAGTATGAAAAGTGATATATTATGAATATATGAATTGTAAAGGTTTT